AAGTTGAGCAGAGACCTTGAAACTTTTTTCACCCTTACACGTCACTGCCAACTGACAATTTAAAAGGTAATTTTAAGTGAAAGTATGATGACTGAATGTACATGTAGTCTTTCTATTTTTTGCAAAACCGTTTTGAATTAGAGCAGACGACAAGAGTTTAATACATGATCTTGGGAGACGTTGGTAAAAACATTATTAAAGTTATATCAAACTGATTAGTCTCATATCCCAAAAACAGGCAAACAACAAATCATTCTCGATCAGAGAGGTTAATCGCGGCGAAAGTTGCCTTCACAACTGTTTAACCAGTAGGAAAGGGGCACTTTATTCCAATACAAAGGTAGCGTTCATGATTGTTGTAACGTTATATGAGCATATCGATAACAAGAAAAAAAATATTTGCCGAGTTAACCGCACTATGAACCCTATTTTTTTTTACTCATGCCGCTTACTCCTTTAGTTTCAAAACTAATAACAGAAAACCGAGGGGCGGTTCTATTTCAGCGAGCCAAAATACGAGTACTGCCACATAAAAGCGCATTCACATTTGTTATTTTCAGAAATACTTTTGTACCCTCCTCACTAATCTTTGTTGATAATTGGTAAATTATTTATTGGTGTCAATCTCCTGGCTGTAAATAATGGTATAACAACCATAATGGGGATATTTATCTTACTGGACCATCTTTTAATGATTTAAATATCCAATTTCAAAACATTAATCCATCGACCACTAATAATCATGAATAATCTATCAGACGCATGTACGAGTAAAAAAGAGATCGTCTGCTGATGCACGAGCTCTGGTTTGGCTCTTTTGATTAGGAAAACCGGTAATTATTTTAATTGGAATATAAAAGCGTTTTAAGCAGGTTAAAACTAAATTAAAGGCGAATGAAGTAGCTTAAAAATTTATTAAACTTTTAGACCGTCATTCTCTCACAAGCTGGCAACTGTTTCAATACATTTATTTCGAAAGTTTTTCCTAAAAAAAGAAAAGCTTGCTGTTTTAAAGATGAACGAGTTTAGTCGAAAATTAGGAAAGATGGACAAGTTGATGTATTTAGCCTGGCGTAAACGTTGATATAAATGTCATCACTTATAATATAGTTGCAATGAATTCAAGAGGTACGTGATTGATGTACATGTACTTAAAATTTAAGCCCTTAAAGAATTTGCCTTACTTCTTTGTTTTAACATAGCAAATATATACTTTGTCATCAAATAACGTTGACTTGTAAATAAACATGTTTTTGTATATAAATTATTATTCATAGTCCAAAATCTGTTTCAAAAATGTTTTGAAGATACCGAACTTTTGTAAGCACTTGATGTCCCTTCCTTTCTATGACTAAAAACAAGCTAATTGTCTAGCAACTAGGGTTATTACTAAAAACATCGGTTCATTTACATGTACAGTATATACGGTTCTTTCTTTTTTTAAATATAAAGGTCGTAAAAAGGTCATAACCTTATATTGAACTTTGTTTTCAAAAGTTCAATATCGCTAAATCTAAAATTTTTGATATGAATTTTAAACAAATTAGCTCTATTGTTCATTGTCAATGAAATTATTTGTGAACTTGGTTTTAACATTCATAACAAGGATATTAAACTTTTAAACTTTTCACTCATAAAATGTAATATTTTGAATAACAAAAAAAATGATAACTTTTTTTCCTTAATTTTTATAACAGATACTTTAATAATTTAAACAGTACCCCTCTAAAATCCGATCACATGCTTTACTTTATCTTTAATATTTATGAAAAATGCAATGAGAGTACTGTGAACATGAAAAAGAATTTTTCTGTAGGTTACGATGGTAATATTGGTTATATTTTATATTTCATAAAATGTGTATACATGTACACATGCTAAACATATGTAAAAATGAACACTTTCACCATTCCGGTTGGCAATAATAAAGTGTCCGAAAATAGAAATTTATAGATATGACATGCAAATGATTACATTAAAAATTGTTGAAACAGTCAATTTTACTGGTATTCTTGATTAGTTCTAAAGAAGTGTGGCAGACGTTTCATTTCTAAGTCAATTTACAATAAGACGTTTCACTTTCAAAAGACCGGGACTTAATGGTCTCCTTATTTCAGGATATACAGACAAACTATTGTTAAATGCAGAAAAATAAATCTTTATCCTTTTTGAAGTAATATTAGAAAATTTTTATTTTTTCCCTTTTTAAATTTGTTTATCACACAAAGGGCACGAATGTACAGGGTGAAAATGAGGGTTTTTTCAGGTTTTACGGTAGGGAAGATCTTTATGCTCCCAATTTTTGCCCTTTAAACCCGGCACAAAACGGGACCCCAGAAGAAAAAGAAAATCTTAAGGGCCCCCCTTGGGGGATTTGAATTCAATTTTTGGGAGTGGGCCCAAATGGTTTAAGGGCCCAAAGACCCAACCCCTCTGCACTTTGCGCCTGTCAAAAAGGGTATAAAATTTTCTTCGATTTATTTTTAAAAACCTTTCCATAAAAAAAATCAAATATTAAATAAAAAGCAAACTAATCAAATATTTTGTTAAAGATAGTAAAAGAAATTTGATTTGTTTAAAATTTTTTTATTGGACTTATTAAAATTTTTTCCCTTTTATTTCGGGACAAAATGTGTGATTTCCTTTTTAAAGGAAACTCCAAAATATGCAAAGGGGTTTTTTTTGGTGCTTTTGGGGGATTCACATTTCCTACATCTATTGATTTTCTGTGTTGATATCTCCAATGGTTTGATGAAACATTGTTGTGCGGTGTGTAATAGCTAAGTCATAGTTCCTAAATTTTAAAGGTTTTCCGGAGGTGTGGCATTGCCGAACATGGAAGGTTCAAGAGTGGATGCTATGGTTAAAGCAGAGACAAACAAGCGGCCAATGCCACATTTAATATTAAAGTTTTCCATTCAGCTGTGAAAATTCTTACTTTTCTAAAAGTCTTGGCCCATTTCTCTCAAATTTGATTTTCTTGAAAATGGTCCGCTCATCTGAAGGCGTGCAGGTTTAATCTATTGCTCTGAGAAAATACATTTGTAAAACCAACGAAAAAAAATGTAAAAAGTATGACATTATTATTATTGTTTAAACACAATAAACGTGGTTAGTTGTCCTCTATACGCAAACCCATGGCGTCTGCAAATCATTATTAAATCTTGTTTTTTGTTTTTTTTGTAATATTTCGTAACACTTCTTGATGTACTCTTAATATTCTAGAACAGATCAAAATAGGACACATGGGGCAAAAAACTTTCATGAAACACTGACCCAATTTTTATATTGAATTTTTATGGCACTGTAATCTTTCAGTAAAGACATTATAGCCACCATATCACGCTGGCAGGAAATTTGAGATTTGATAAACTTCCTAATATCTTAAATAAATATAATTATCTTAAAGTGCACCTACCTACAAATGTACCAATATTACTATGGTAGTAAGTGCACAATATTTTGATATTGTAAATATTTTGTACACATATATACATGTATCAACAAGCAGTGCACCCACGTATTGTTCCTCAACATTATATGGTTTTCGATAGTATTCTTATTGTTTAGTTGTTACTTAGTCTTTTATTACAGACTTAAATATAGCTCTGTGCCTGTTGATGTTTTGGAAAATTCAATATAGTATAAAGGCTTCCACATAACAAGTGTTCTTTTTTATCCCACATCAGTACAGCAATAACATGAGTTTGGCATCATCTCATATATTTATAGAATAGGCTACTTTAGAAAATGCAAATCTGTGTAATTTTGCTGTTTTTATATTTTTAACACTGTATTTTCCCTATAAGCACGTTGTGCTCTGGTGAGCTAAAAATGTCAATTTAACACATTAAAATTCTTCAAAAAATAATTAATATCTATAATTAATATCAATCATGAGGTGGTCCCTTACACTCTTTTTGATTTGCTTATTTGTAATACTACAATGGTATTTAATATGCGAGTCATAATTTCGGTAGCCTTAGTAATAACATCTGTTGAATATAATTATATTACACCTTGCAGACATTTTAACAATTTTATGACTTGTCCAATCTCAGTGGCAATAAAAGTCAATATAATATATTAACTCTGCACACTTTGCATTAGAGATTAAATATTGTATCATGACAGTATATATTAAAGATTAATTCTTATATTGTTGTAGATATATGACCATCTTAAACTTGTTGATTATATAATTATGCACTTCCTATTTTTGTAAAGTAACAATATACAAGTGACACAAGAGATCTTGAAATGTAAACATTATTATAGTAAATCAATATACATTGTAGTAAATCACTAATCTTTATATTATTTTGTGTAAATCAATACACAGTCATTTACTATTTGATCCCTATTCATCAAGATTGTTTGTTTGTGTTGTTGGATTTTAATTTCACATCAACACAGTAAAGGTCATACGGTGTCTTTCCAGCTCAACTGGTAGGAGAAGACCTCTGTTGCTCGGTTTGTGCATTACTTCAGAAATGAGCCTGCACCTGAGTAGGATCACAAATGTTTCGAAAGCTAGCTGTAACACTTCCTAACATAAAAGCATCCATATTCTGACGGGGAATAGCGCCAAAAGCAGTGAAGGGCAAAATACTAGTCAGGTGTCACATAAAGAAATATGTTCTTTTTAAGCAATAATTTAACAGGACAGTGTACATGCCTGCTTGATAATAAATCTTGTTGCAGAATTTTTTATAAAATAATATGAACATGTCTAAAATTTAAAAGCAGATGTTTGGAAATATACATGTACATCATTCTAACAAATTCCTCTGAATTTGATCTGAAATTTTCACTTTCAACTTGTTAATTTATTGGACAAGTATAAATGTATTCAACATTTTGTAGGAGAAAGGGTTTAGCTGATTCAGACACATTGAAGTTTGAACAGACTAAAATTTAAGATGTGAAAATTCTGCTTTGACTCAATATAAACAGTATTTCAATTTATTTTCAAAGATAACAAAACAATTTATATTAAACAAGATTTTCAGCAATTATTTCTAATAAGATTTAACTCCCTTTCAAAAAGTGTCATATGCTATGAATTTAACTCAATATAGGACTGGAGCTTGCAGAAATCATGATCAATAAATAGACAAATATTGTTTTTTTCACCAATGCTTGCATTTTTCATTCATTATCATACATAAATTGTTGTGAAAAGATGAACAAGACCTTTTAAAGTTCATTCCGTTGAGTGAAAAGTCAAGATTTAATCATTCAAGCCCCTTGTCCGGTATACTGGAATACTGTATTTAGTGTGGTGCTCCAGTCTTATTTTAGTCTTACTCATACTCTATCAGTGCCAATAACCTGTTACCAACAATAAAATTCAGATTAAATTTAATACTTGCTATAATACTTTATTAAATACTGTTTGAGGAACATTTCTCAAATATAATTCATTAATTAATACCAGCAACTGTAACAATGAAATAAATAATCTAATATAATAACAGCTAAATGTATAAAAACATGAAAATAAATTTTACTGTTTTCCATTCAATCAAAAGTCAAACTTATCCCTTGGATATTACATTCCTACATGTATAAAATATTATTATTCACTGCAAAGAAATTTTAAAAATCTCAGAAATCATATGATATGATATTACTTCTTTTAGACAGATATAATTTTTGACAGTAAGACAAAATTTTAAGTTTCTTTTTCTTCTTAGAAATTTATAGTACATCATAAAGCATTTAATTAGTTTTATGCTTGTGCTTCACTGAACGTATGTTTTCTATGAATTAACACAAAAGTATTCAACTTTCAACTAAATACTTTCAATTTTATTTACAAGATTAGTTAAAGTATCATTATCAAGGTTGTCTAAATGTAAATGTTTTGATTCGACTATAGATAAGTCATTCTTCTTCTGAGATAGCATATAACATGGATCATAGTGCTCCAGAAGCATTCTTCTCACAAAAGCCTCCCAGTCACCCTGATTGATCAAGGTCAACCATTCGTTTACACGTTCATGACCAGCTGTATTCACTAGTTTTAGAATAATTGTTTTCAATTCTTCTTTATTTTCAATCCAATTCGGATAGTCTCTGATTATATGCTTTACCCTTTCTTCTAAAGGTAGATGCACATGAAATCTAGGAGCTGTTTTTAAATGTTGGAAGAATTTTTGATGAATACATATTGAACCAATGCGAACACTCTCCGATTCTAGCCACACTGGTTTGGAAGTTGTAAAAGAGTGTAACTTATCACATAATAACGAGTCAAAGTATTTCTGTGAAGGCTGTGTCTCACCATGCCAAAGTCCTAAAACTGAGCCCTTATGTTTAGCTAGACCTTCAAGGTCAAGGACTTGGTGACCTTGTGCTGACAATGCTTGTAGTATCCTGGTCTTTCCACTTCCTGTGGGACCTGAAATGTTTCAGCATCAGTGTTAGAAATAACTCATGCATATATAATTATACTTACTAACAAGCATAGAAAACTAATTTAACATCAACCACTTATGCAAAAGTGGAAGTAAACCTTTAAAAGCGTTAACTTTAATAAAATGCATATGCTGAAGAGGATTAAAATCTTTAAAATGTTAATTTTTATATAATGCATTCTTAGGGGATATTGAATAAGTGTAGGTTTTATACCAAATTTATCGAACAAGTTGCATAAAATCATATTATGTGAGCCTCTGGCGAGCAAAATATTGTTTTATTCAACGAGTTCAATAAATTTAGTATTGAATCTACACAAATATAATATACTATTTATCACATATTTAAAATAAGAACGGTTAACTGTTAACTCGTCATTTTTCATTGATGTGCCTAAGGTATAAAGCTAGCTTTATTATACTCCTGTGTCGCTGTTAATGTGATAAATCACAATAAGACACCGGATGAGCTGAACAAGAGGGCCATGATGGCCCTGAAGTCGCTCACCTGTATATAGGCCCCTGGAGCGGGGCCAGTTTAAACACCAGGACTTTTATTTGAACAAACTTGGTAGACACCCATTAGAAGATGTTTCATGCTAAACATCTAAGGTCTAGCTCATTGGGTTTTTTAAAAGAAGATTTTTTCAACTTTTTTCTTTACACATATAGTTAAAAACAATGACACACCTGGGGCAGGGCCAGTTTTGACCCCAGGGCTTTTATTTGAACAATCTTTGTAGACACTTACTATAAATTGTCTCATGCTTTATATCTAAACTCTAAGCTATTCGGGTTTTTTCAAAGAAGATTTTAAAGATTTTGCTATACACATATCTAGCTCTTTGGGTTCTTTGAAAGAAGTTTTTTAAGTTTTTACTATATGCAACAATGACCCCCTGGGGCGGGGCCAATTTTGACCCCAGGGCTTTTTTTTTAACAAACTTGGTAGACACTCACTATAAGATGTTTCATACCAAATATCTAAGCTCTAGCTCTTTGGGTTTTTTAGAAAAAGATATTTAAAGTTTTTTTCTTTTGGTTGCCATGGCAACCACAGTTCTGCATGGAATTAAATTCTTTGATGATTTTCAAAGGAACATTCCTGTGAAGTTTGGATGAAATGGGCTTAGTGGTTTATGAGGAGATGTCATTTAAAGTAAAAGTTTACGGACGGCGGACGGACGGATGCCGGACGAAAAGCGATCACAAAAGAATGAGTTTTAATGAATCTACATGTAACAAATGATAATTTGTTTCTTTGGGAGCATAGCTCAAGAAATAAAATATTCCACAAAAAACATAGCAAGATGGACCTAATTTGCTTGTAGAACATAATTTCTACAATGATTAGCCTATCATGCCAAAAACCGTTGAACTTTTACCATGATGATTATCTTATATTATCTAACCAGCAATGCAGACCATAATCAGACTGCAAAAATGTGCCACATCATCTTGGTTAGCACTGTTTGCATGGGTAGAATCGGTTGCCCCTAGTAGGCTAAGGTTAAAGCATGAGTTGGATTCTATATGAAAAGTTCAAAACTCTTCACACTTAAAAGAAAACAAGAACACTAACCTGATATAACTCTGTACTGAAACATCTGTGGCAAGGTCTCAAACTCCCGTCTTATTCCTGCCCTATACTGTTTATATCCTTTTTCTAACACAAACGACTCAAAACCAATTTGAGCCAGAATGAGAGCCATACTGTATGACCTTTGACCTCCTCTCCAGCAATATATAAGAGGACTATAATCAGTGCCCTTTGATTGAAAATACACCTCAATATGATTTGCAATATTTCTTGAAATCAAAGCAGCTCCTGCCTTACGTGCCTCGAACTTGCTATGGGAGTACATTGTCCCAATAGTTATCCTTTCATCATTTGAAAGGACAGGTAGATTTATTGCCCCTGGGATATGATCTTCCTCATATTCAGCTGGAGTTCTAACATCAATAATTTCTGACACACAGTCATCCCTGTGACAAGTCAGTACCTTTGGTACACTGCTTTTGGAAGCATTTGCAACTGCAGTAAAGTACCTTTGTAGAAGTAAATGGAGGAAACGACGATGCTGTTGCAAGATTTTAAGTGTCATTATCATTTTGCCCTCTTCGATCCTTAGATTATCATTTCTAAGAAATGACCCTGAAATGTACAAAACACAACAAATAAGCAATTCATTTATTAAGTATGATAACTTATGAAACAAGACAGCCATGATGGCCCTAAATTGTTCCCCAAGGGATATGGTCTACATGGACAAAATTATAAAATTTAATAATGAGATATTCCTTGTTCAACAGAACAGAAGGATTTCAGAAATTTTGTTGCACCAACTCATTTTGAATTCTCATGATCACGTATTTAAAAGATATAAAACAAATATAAATGAATTATGATACAATTTTTGAATCCATAAAAAATGCTCATTTCCCACCATCTATCCATGAGATATCGCATCGGTATACATTTTAACCTGTTCATTCTTAACAAAATTCTCATTCAATTTTCTAAAGATCCCTACTAGTGTTATAAACAGGTTATAACATTTAACTGTAATACTAGTACTTTCTGATTTTGCAAACTTTTTTGTGGTGTTATATAATTCGGTGTTGCATCTAGAATTTCAAAATTATGGGGGATTGTCCCCCACTCAACTAAAAAATGTGGGGGATTTGGAAAAAAAGTGGGGTACATGCATTTACCTAACAATATGATGTACCGAAAAGAATTCATTTATTTTTTGTTTAGGCATTTTTGACAGCTATCGTCTGCTCAACAACAGAAATAGAAAAAATAAAACAGTGATGAATACTAAGTAAAGTCTGCGCAGATCAAACCATCAATACACACGCGAGATGACCCAGTTGGCTGATACATGCAATTTAGTATGTATTATAGCGAGCTTGAAGAGCTGGCCTGCAGGGCTTGCTGGCAAAGCAAGCTTTACAGTAACGCCAGTACCTGCTAGATAGTGATGGTTTAAAAATTTTCGTTGGAAGTACTGAATTGACACATTACAAATTTTCAAATTACAAGTTAACGATAAAAGCCGAGGAATTATGATTGAAAACAGATGAGTAGACTGATGTCCTGTGTACTTTTATAGGAACCATAATAGGACAGGGAACCAGAATAAACGGAAGCAGTGTGTAAAAATTAAATATCGAATGAAAATGTTAAATAAAAATGAACAATTATATTATACGACCATGTTTTTTTTCTTTATATAACTACTACCCTAAAATGGTACTGTTCCTAATAGAAAAGAGATATTAAAATTCCCAATTTCCATTGTTTAAATTCCCAAAAATGGCTGTTCAAAATTCCCACAAGGTCAAGTGATTTCTCTGAAATCATTTAAATCCAATATATTCATATAAAGCACCACTCAATAGTTCTACCTGGACAATGGAAGCTGTTAGCTATCTTTATTCCTGATGACTAATCTTATTTGTAGCTGAAAAAATGCATGAAAAAAATCCCAATTTAAGTGAAAATAACGCATTTTTTCCCAATCAGTCTGGTACCGGCACCATTCTAAAAGTAGAGAAAAAAACACTGTACTATTTCACAGTAAAAGACTAAGTATATGGAGCTCATTTTGAGGCTTTGCCTTTTTCATATACCGGTAAGTCACTACTGCGAGTGCAGAAGCTTTCAGTTTCAAGATATGATGAAGTCAAGATATGATTAATTAAGTTTAAAAGATAGTCAGATGAGCTACTTGGCCCAAGTTGTGCATTGACTTCATTAAAATGGCAATCTGCAAAAAGATATACACAATTTTGTGGCTATGATCAATGATAATTATGGAGAAGAGATAATGCATTTATCAGTTTATATGGTGAATGCACTTATCATTTGATATTGTTTTATATTAAAAGAATTGACAACTTTATTAAGTAGGGTACTAAGATCAAAATTTGTGTCAACGGAAAATATATGATCAACATGAACTGATGGAGCGAATTGTCATTGGGGCGAATCTTCCCTTACTTAATCCACTTCAGTTGGAACAACCTTGCAAGTCACGTACAGTATTTACTATCAGATTTAAATGTTGAATCTACTTATCAATCAAAACTGTGTTATATGCCGCCTTACCTAAAATGGGGTTTAGATAAGAAATATCTTGAAATTTTATTTAGTGTCATGCCTTTGGTTCCATTTCATTCATGACCGTAAAGTTCTGCAGTGATAGCCAAGGTAATCCGAAAATCCGGTGCAAATGTAAACATGATGTTTTAATTTATAATTTTTATTTTCATTACTCCAGCAAAGATTATTTGTCACCTGTATGTATATTTTATCTTTGCAATTTAAGTGTTATTGACTTTGATCATGAAAATAATTGCTGTCATTTTGGTTTTTAGTCACATGCCGAATTGGACCTTAATTAGGTTTATCTTGAATAATACCTCGTGCAAATCATCCTACCTAGATACTGTGGTAAATTAGTTCACATGATTTTACATTTATGAGGTCTTGACAGCAATTTCTGTCAAGATGGCTGTCATAATGGCTGGATATTTATTTATAATGTCAGATCAAATGAACAATCATCTAGCCCTTCCACCAGAGCCCAGAAACATCCTACAGGTATCCTACTGGTAGAGGTGACACATGTACATGTATCTGTATTCTGAAATCCAATCAGATTGTCTTGGTCTAATTTATCACAGTGTTCAAGACTTTATTTAAAGACAAGTAATAATTATTAAGCCCTCTTCTCACTTCCTCTCTGAGCATTCATGTTGCTAAGAATAGACCGGGCATCGGCAGAAGATTTGAAGACAAGTAAATGGGCCAGCAATAAATGACCAGCCCCTAGTACAAATGACGGCTTTAAAGAGAGACATACCCTTTGCTTAGCACCACCACCACAGCCTTTTTAACGGCTTCCTCCTTTTTTTTCTCAGCTGGGTACTGTACATTTAGGTTCTCATTGGCCGAAGACAGGGACCTACGTTTGGCTCAAAATAAATTTCTTTGGCTAATACTCTCTGGAAATAGCGTGGAGGTAAAATTATCATCACTTTGTGCTTCAAAATGATTTCGAGACGTTTCGGCCCCAAGACGTATCGGCCCCAAACTACCCAAGACGTTTCGGCCCCGGACGTTTCGGCCCTTTACCAAATCGGCCCCATGATATGTACTGTATTTTAAACCGATATATTAATAGCATTTCAATGATTAAATGAATCAATTAATATATATATTTAATCATTTTGTATAAAAACTAGATTATATTAGTAGTAGGGAAAAAGTAATCAATACAAATACAGAACATAAACTTTATTTGAAAACATTTCTGTCCGTTTATCAGTCACAATTTTTACACTTAAAATCCGATTGTAAGTATTAAATCACAGTTAATTTCCAGCAAATAATGTATCTAATTTAATTTTATATATAATGAAATTATTCCAACAATTATACGCACAAACACTTTATTTTCGAATGTTATAACTTATCTATAGCAGGTACATAGCATTTATAATTTGGTTTCAGTTTTTCAATCAGTTTTATAACATCTAGCATCTATCATTATCTAATAGCAATAATAATTAAAAATATTATCATGAGATTGTAGCAAACTGTTTTTTTCATATCTTTTGAAGTTTTCTCTGATATTACTTACCGCCAATTAGCATAAAGCTATAAACAGTTAATTAGTTACACCTTGAAAAAAAAATTACGTATAGTTTAATTAAGATCAAAAGATAATGTTTTCTAAGTAATAATTGTAATTAACTTTCTTTATCCAGAAGTTTTAGTGGTTTGTTTTATAAATTAAGTAACCTGCCTTTATTGTTTGTTACACCTTTAAAACATTAACGTACATCTAAAAAACATTAACGTACATCTAAATGGTTCAAGAGATCAAAAGATAATAAATAATTATTTAAAGAATTAAAGTGTCATAATTGTTTAATTGTTATTAAATTAATTGTTGTTAATCAATCAAGCAATATACTATAGTGGGGCCGAAACGTCTCTCGGAAAAGGGCCGAAACGTCCAGGGGCCGATTTTTCGACTGGGGCCGATTTGGTTTGGGGCCGAAACGTCCTGTTTCCCTTCAAAATTTACTCTTAAAGGGGATGATTGGTGACATGTAAGGGGTCTGTACCCTTTTGGGCAGATGGACCCTCATTAAACATAGAATAATGGTACAGAACTACATACATGTATCAATCAATCTGCTTATCTCTCTATTCCATCCCATCCCCATTGGGTAATATGTAGAACATTGTAGATGATAGACGATGCATTGTATAAGGCATGATATCATCTATTGTAAATGTTTTTGTTTGCTTTAAAGAAAATTGCGAGTAAAAGTACAAATCTGTATAATACAATGTATGTAGAAAACTAATACTATTACCAATGTGTTTAACATGCAAGTTAATGAAGTCATGATTGTTTATTATGTTATAGTTGAATGGATTATGCTGTAAAAGTTATGAGTCATTGTTATTAATTTATTGTTTATTAGTATCAATGTATAATTATTTTTTTTGTAGATGGTGAGGTGATGATGTGAAGAGTTACAGCAATGTCAGTTATTGTAGAAAATGGAAATGGATGTATCATAGATCACCATAAAGCATCTATAGTAACAATAGAAACACCACATAATGTTGGTAGAGGTAATACATGTACTTTTGCAATTCTCATATCTCTATGTTGTACATGTATAGGATTGTAAAGAACATTATAAAATCTTTAAAAGAGGATAGAACTAAAACATGTTTTCTTAAGTCTATATAGATTGCTCACCCCTGGGGAATATTGCAAAAAAATATTGTACGGATGATACTTATTTCCAGAATGATAGATTGAATGTGTTTGACTATGATGTCACATTAGGCTGTATAATAAAAAGTTTAGTCATGAGGTAAATAAAAAACAATATGAACACATTGCTTTCAAGCCTTAAACTACTGAGCGTGTAAATCGGATATGCCCAGTTTTTAATTTAGAACAGTCCTTTAAGATTTAAAGGGATTTCAATATTGAAAAAAAAACACATTTAATGAGCTGTATATTCCTATTTTGAACATTCTATAGCTCATCTATTTGTTTTAGCGACTAAAAGCAAAATTACTCCTAATTATCAAATAAAGACATTAGAAAAATCAGAGAATTTTATGATTGTATTATAAAGCTCTACTGAAAAATATATTAAGTGTTTAATAAATGGATAAATGCTCTCAATTGGTATAATGCTGCACATGCTAAACATGTATTTTACAGCCAAATAAAGGCTGTTTCCCCTAACTTTAAATAGGTATATTTCCCCCTAAAAATGCTACTATTTTCCCCTAAAATGCCCTGTGCACATTCTTCACTAGAATCATGACTTAACAGCAGCTGACTTATGCAGAAAGCTGTCCCTGAAGATAGCCTCTGCCATGTACCATGCATGTTAAATTGAATTGAAATTGAAAATTTTATAAAATGTGCGGGTAAATTCCATTCTCAGTTGTTGATGTCATTTCCTATAAACAAAGTATACCTGATGAAGACTTTTGAGTCGAAACGTTGTATATTTTTCAAATAAAATAATTACATTTTTAAATTGAAACTGGTTTGATTTCTATATTCAAACTTACATTCTCAGTTGTTGGAATTTGATTTTCCCCTTTTCTGATTTATCATGCTGTATTTTCCCCTTCAGATTGGTTTTGAAAATTTAAAAAAAATCACTGGACAAATATGAATGAATGTATTATTTTCAATCACTATACATAACAATGTATTTGTTACCAAGTTTAACTCACATTGGAAAAGCTTATTTTGCATTAATACATTTCATTTACATGTATTTCAGATGATAGGCATGGTCATCAATATAAACTTAAGTCTGACCTGTTTGAAATTGTTGAACCTTATAGAATGGATAGTCAGTTTGTAAAATTACAATCAGCAGATAAAAATGAGGATGGCCGAAAGAATAAAAGAAAGGTTGGTACTTGGAAATTGGAAGATTTTTTTTTTAATTTTAAATATTTGATTATGTGGCATCATGTCAATTGTGGCTACCATATTATATTTCATTACTGTATATGTTGGAACTTGTATATAGCCAAGTTTTCAGTATGGATACCTTGCTGATATAGAATGTTTACTTTTTTCAGCGTAAAAGACGAGAACCATTGAATGTTGGGGAAAAAATGGCTGTTGATTTCCATAATGAGGTACAAATATAGTAATTACTTAATGATACCATTGTAGGTGAAGTTCTAATAGCAAGTCATCCTAAATTTAACCAAATGTTTTTAGTTTAAAATGGTTAACTAAATCATAGCATAAAAACAAAATGACGCCATATTTTTTTCTACTTCAGTTTTATTTCAAAGACATATAGTAACCTGCTTTCAAATACATTGAAAGCAGTATTTTTGAAGTTATGGCTCCTTTCTAACTTAAAATTTTTAACAGACAAGCATTAACACCACATGTGGTTCTCATGATTAATAGACAGTATCCAGAACTCGTCAAAGTGGGGTTTTCCCAGCTTATCTGTAGGTACAAACTATTTTTTACTGTTACAACTTAATGGTGCATTACCCTTCACAATAAATTAGTTAACCTGTTTCACTTATTTTCAAAACTGTTACTGTAAAAGTTTGTATGTACCTACTTTATTAGCTTGAAAAACCCAAAATATTCTTAATACCAAAGTAAGTCTATTACAATGATATCGTTCATGCGGTACTATTGGAGACAAATATAATTCTTCAGTACAAAATTTTTTGAAAGAAAAAGATAAAAGTGTGACATTTTTCATTAAGCTCTGTTTGTCTCATTGTTTATTAGGTCAAAGGATATATAGAGACAGCATATAAAAGTCTCCTTGAACTTGGTCAAAAGATGAGCTACTTCATGACCCAGAGCAACATTGACCTCAGAGATAATAATGTAGCTGCTAGGAAGGCAGCTTTATTGGATGGTACCCTGCATTCATTTATAGACATGTGCGAGCAGTCAGATCATGACAGGAACCAGGAATGCCTGGCTGGTTGCTATACTGGTGCCTCTTCTTGCTCTCTAAATTGTGTAGGGACACAACAAGCCTGGAACCAGGAATGTCAGCAAGAAGAACATGATAGATTGAGCAATTGTGTACCTACTATACAAGTTTCTGAAGGTAAATGATCATGTTTTTTAGCTCGACTATTCGAAGAATATGAGAGCTATTGTAGTCGCCCCGGCGTCGGCGTCGGCGTCAGCGTCGTCGTCTGCGTTGGTTAAAGTTTTTTGTAAAGTCAAATATCTCAATTATTGCTTGAGATATTCAATTGAAACTTACAATACTTATTTATAGTAACAAGGTACATCAGATTGACAAGTTGGATAACTCTACCTACAATATTGACAGAATTATGCCCCTTTTTAACTTAGAAATTTTGGTTAAAGTTTTTTGTAAAGTCAAATATCTCAATTATTGTTTGAGATATTCAATTGAAACTTACAATACTTATTTATAGTAACAAGGTACATCAGATTGACAAGTTGGATAACTCTACCTACAATATTGACAGAATTATGCCCCTTTTTAACTTAGAAATTTTGGTTAAAGTTTTTTGTAAAGTCAAATATCTCAATTATTGTTTGAGATATTCAATTGAAACTTACAATACTTATTTATAGTAATAAGGTACATCAGATTGACAAGTTGGATAATTCTGCCTACAATATTGACAGAATTATGCCCCTTTTTAACTAAGAAATTTTGGTTAAAGTTTTTTGTTAAGTCAAATATCTCAATTATTGCTTGAGATATTCAATTGAAATTTACAACACTTTTTTATAGTAACAATGTACATCATTTTGCAAAATTGCAATATTTGCAGAATTATTTGCCCCTTTGAAACTTAGAAATTTTGGTTAAAGGTTAAAGGTCTTCAAAGATATTTACTTGAAACTTTACACATGTACTTAGGGTCATAATTTGAGGGTCATAATTGTATGTCACTGACCAAGTTCCATAACTCTATCTTGCATTAAGGCTGATTCATATCCCCTTTTCTACTTAGTCTCTTGGTTAATGTTTACATGCAAGTTTTACATATCTCAATAACTATTAAAGATATTTATTTAAAACTTCACATATGCATTTAGGGTCAGAATTGTAGGTCACTGACAAAGATCCATAATTCTATCTTGCATTTAGGCTGATTTTTCTTCCCCTTTTCAACTTAGAAATTCATGATAAAGTTTTGCTTGTAAGCTGTTATCTCCATAACTACTGAAGGGTTTGTGTCTTTTTTGGGACAATTTTATGCCTTCATAATAATAAAGCAGTGATTTACTTGATAAAACATCTTAATAACAAGCCTTTGTACCTTTTCTGTCAAATTTATGTATCCATAGGTAATTAGTATTATTATACTCAATAAAACACCCTAATGACATTACCTTCCAAATAGTCAAGCAAATACTGTATAATTAGACTCTCTCTAAGGCCTATAACATGAATTTATAAAAAAAGATTAGCCCTTTGGTGAACTTAGAAAATTTAACATTATCAAGGCTCTTTTACTATCAAGCACTAAGAATACTCGAGCGTGCTGTCCTACTGACAGCTCTTGTTTTTGTTGTTCCTTCTAGTTTCTATGCAACAAATAATTAACAAAATTTTGCATACAATTTGTCTGTGGTCTTACATTGAGAAATATAATATGAAAGGCCTAAAGTTGAGAGAAGGTTTTCAAACTGGTTCACTGAAAACTTTTATAAACATTTTAAATAATTAAATCTTAATGGTGCTGAAATTTTAATCAGTTGTTTTTATCAATTACAGTGAAAGATCTGTCATTGTTTGGTACAATCAACGTGATCTGGCAGAACTGGGATCAGTCAGGCAGGCTGGTTAAATGTAAGGGAGAAAACTACATAATTCCAGAAAACTGTACCTTCCTTATGTCAGATATATCCGAGTTTAACAAACTAGGCAAAGGTATATTAAATTATGTTTTTATTTGTGAGAATTGTTCAATATTATATTATTAATGTAGCATACAATTTTCAAAATTTCAAGGGAAATTATTATTGCATATACTGATTAAAAATCATATATAAGTTAATTCCCTTTAATTAAGTAATAAAATTTAACACAGTCTCGCAACATTAGAAAACTTTCAGACAAACATAAACTTTGTGTTAAGTATTTTCAAATAAGGATTTAAAAAGTTGCTTTGAATGTTCAGCGTGTTTGCCTATCAATATTTTGATCATTATTCTTTCAGTATCTGTTCATTGTTCACTGTAGTTTTTTCTTCACCATTCACATGGTCTTATAAGTAAAAGAACGTTTATTAAGAAAATAAGCAGAATTTAGAGGACCAGTGGCCTAGTGGTGAATGTATAAGCTTCTCAACCCACGGGTCATGGGTTCAAGCTCTTTTAGAATCACAATCATGTTTTATCATGTGGCACTAGGACTGGCCTTAAGGTTATAAAAACATTTTTCTGAGTCTTGTCTCAAATTCAAGGATTTTCATTGGTCAGTGTACATTCTGTGTCGTATTCTGACCAATCAAATACTTGGGATCTTATTTTTAACTGTATAACCTCAGATCCTGGATAGTTTCCGGAATCTGTCTTTACTGTGATTCTGATAAGATTTCATCACAAATAAGTAATACTAAATATGGTTAAACTAAAATTCAAATCAGGACAAATCAACTATGCAAATTAAGAGATATAAAGTTTAAAGATCCTGTTTACTGTAATTAAGGATGTAACAACACTTAAGTGGAATTTTATATATGTATATAATTATTCTCCTAAAACAATTTCCAAACAACCAGTATCGGTGTCATGAAGAAACATGGTCGTGACTCAATTTGGGCTTACACGCATGATCCCTGGGTTGAGAGGCAGACCCCTTAACCACTAGCCCAATGCTCCCTTTAAAAAGGCATACCGTTGTTTTAACAGACAGCTGGAAGTAAGAAAACTGTTACAAGAAAACCACTTGAGTAATTTTGTGGACATGTAATGAAATAGTTCATATTATAAACAATTCTAGCACATCCTGCATTTTTCCCTATTGATTATAGAAGAATCGAAAGTGTGTATTATTATGCAACAAAATTACGGTTAAGTTTAAACATATGAGCCGTGCCATGACAAAACCAACATAATAGGTTTGCAACCAGCATGGATCCAGACCAGCCTGCGCATCCATGCAGTCTGATCAGGATCCATGCTGTTCGCTATCAGTTTCTCTACTTGTAATAGGGTTGGTAAGCGAACAGCATGGATCCTGATCAGACTGCACGGATGCGCAAGCTGGTCTGGATCCATGCTGGTCGCAAACCTATTAAGTTGGTTTTGTCATGGCATGGCTCATATGTTTTAACTTAACCTCATGGTAATTTCTCATACTTTTGTCATTTTTCAACAGCTCTTGGAAAATTTGATCTCCTTGTAATGGATCCACCTTGGACAAATAAATCCGTGAAACGCAAGAAAAAGTAAGTATTCATATTTCACCGAATAAACTTGTTGAATCTACTCAAGTAATTTTATAATGTGTGAAATTATTGATGTAAAACATGCTGAACCTGTAGTTATATGATTTGTTTTGCTAAAAGTGATTTTGTATAATAATTAAAAAAATGAAACGTAATATCTACCGGTAGCTGGCAGATCACATTTCACACCTACATGTACTCACTGATTTAGTCTAGACAAATCCTGTGTTACAATGTTGTCATCTACATTAAAGGGACATGCCTTCAGATTTATGTTAAATTTTTATGAAATTTTTTTATATAAATGATATAAATCTATAAAGGTGACATCTAATGAAATATTTTTATAAAATTTGAAAGTGGAAAAATTATGCTGTTTTCATAAGATTATGTTCAATTTAAATTTTTTTTTTTAAATTTAATAATTTCTTGCAACATATATAAATCACTTTTGAGTTGCTTCCTGGAACCAACCAGTACCAGTATCATAAAAAACATGGTCACTCGATTTGGACTTGAACCCATGATTCCTGGGTTGAGAGGCAGACACCTTAACCACAAGACCACTGCTCCCCTTAAAAAGGCATACTGTTGTTTTAACAGACAGCTTGAACTTAGAAAACAGTAACAAGAAAACCACTCCAGTAATTTTGTGGACATTTAATGAAATAGTTTATATTATAAACAAACAGAATCATATACACTTTGTCACTGGTACCATAACATGTTTAAACAGAAAGTGATAAGCGTTTAAGCCACAAGTAAAGAACCAGGCCGACCTACACATGCTGTCTGACCAGGCTCTATAAATTTTGGTAAGTTAGTGTAGTTGAGAATTGCTGTGATTACTGTTTTATAGTTCTGTTGGAAAATGATGAAAACAATGTAACATTTTGTTTACAGATACCATACAATAGATAATGACATGTTGTTAGGTCTACCTTTATGTGACCTCATGAACCCTGGATGTGTTGTTGTTGTCTGGGTTACAAATAAACAGAATCATATACACTTTGTCACAGAAGAACTCTTTCCTTCTAAAAACATTAGATTCACAGCAAGATGGTACTGGTTGAAGGTAAGGTCAATTATGTAATATATATCTTACCTTTTTAGCTCACCTGACCACAAAGTGGTCAAGATGAGGTATAGTGATGGGGCTATGTCCGGCGTCCGTCATCGTGTGTCGTTTGTCGTCAACAATTGGGTTGTTAACAGTCTAGCAGTCACAGTTTTGATTGGATCATTGTCAAACTTTGTCAGAATGTTTGTCTCAATGAAATACAGATCGAGTTTGAAGATGGGTTATCTCGAGTCAAAAACTAGGTCACAGGAGCTAAAAATAGAAAAGCTTTTTAACACTCTACTGGCTGCAGTTTTGGTTCAAATATTCTGGAAATTTGTCAGGAAGGTTGTTTTGATGATTTCTAGGTCAAGTTTGAAGATGGGTCATATCCGGTTAAAAACTAGGTCACTTGAGCTAAAAAAAGAAAAAGCTTGTTAACACTCCAGTGGCTGCAGTTTTGATACAAATATTCTGGAAATTTGTCAGGAAGGTTGTTTTGATGATTTCTAGGTCAAGTTCCAAGATGGGTCGTCTCCGGTCAAAAACTAGGTCACAGAAGCTAAAAATAGAAAAATCTTTTTAACACTAGTGTCTGCAGTTTTGATCCAAATATCCTGGAAATTTGTCAGGAAGGTTGTTATGATGATTTCTAGGTCGAGTTTGAATATGGGTCGTCTCCAGTCAAAAATTAGGTCACATTGCCCAAATATGGAAAACCTTTTTAACACAAAAGAGGTCGCATTTTTGACTCAATTGTCATCAAACTTGGCCAGGATCTTGTCTAAGACATTGCTTGGATGCGGTTGATGGGTCATGGGAGTGATCCAGGGCCATCATGGCCCTCTTGTTAGTTTTACAATCAAATTTTGGTGCTGAATGTTCTTTTATATATCACCACATTATTTCATGTCCTGAATATGTATGTTGAAGTGAAGGTCATTAGATCAGCTGATTTTAAGTGTTAAAAGTGACACCATGCATATCCAAGAATAAATATCAGTAAAAATTAAAATTACTTGACATTTTGCCTTAATAATACCCCTACAAGTTTAGGGGGTGTATATTGGAGTCAGCTTGTCGGTCGGATCATCCTTCTGTTGGTCCACATCATGGTTTCTGGACGATAAATAAGAGTTTGGAATGAGGTATTGTAATCAAACTTGGTATATAGCAACCTTAAGAGGAGACCCTGGTAGGTATTGCATTAAATGGACCCCCGGGTGTCAAGGTCACTGTTACTAAAAATTGAAAAATGGTTTTCGGACAATAACTAGAGTTTGAAATGAGATATTGTAATCAAACTTGGTATAGAGCAACCTTATGTAGAGACCCCGTTTGGTCAAAGTTGCTGGTGGGGATATAAATCACTTTCAGTGATAGGTCTAGTTGTGTTCAGTTTTTAGAATTTACTATGAATCAATAATAATAATCCACATGACCAACAAAAATTTCTATATATCTTTCAAAATGTATACTTTACATTCAATTCTTGAGAAGAATATGGCAGTCATTTTATAATATCAGACCCTATTCTGTTGGCTGACTAACTTTTCATGTTGATATTCTTTATGTTGTAATGATCTTTTCCAAAAAAAGAACCTGAACAAGTCTATTCAAGAAATTAATCTGATTAAAAGACATTCAACTTAGACAACTGTTTCAGTTCCATTCCACTTATACAACTGTTTCGCTTCCATTTCTTCTTCCACAACTGTTTTAGTTCTATTTCTCTTTTACAACTGTTTCAGTTCCATTCCTCTTTTACATGAGTTTTAATTCCATTCCTCTTTTACAGTGGTTTCAATTCCATTCTTCCTTTACAATGGTTTCAATTTCATTCTTCCTTTACAATGGTTTCAGTAATATTCCTCCTTTACAATGGTTTCAGTTATATTCCTCCTTTACAATGGTTTTAGTTATATTCCTCCTTTACAATGGTTTCAGTTATATTTCTCCTTTACAATGGTTTCAATTCAATTCCTCCTTTACAATGGTTTCAATTCCATTCATCTTCCTCAGGTGCTACAATTTCATTTATCTTCCACAACTATTTCAATTCCATTTCTTTTACAACTGTCTCAATTCCATTCCTCTTCTCTAACTGTTATGATTCCATTCGGAATTTCCTCTTCTCCAACTGTTTCAATTCCATTCCCTTTACAACTGTTTTAATTCCATTCCTCTTCTCCAACATTTCTTTTACAATGGTTTCAATTCCATTCCTCTTCCTCAGCTGCTACCATTTCATTCATCTTTTACAACTTGTTTTGTTCCATTCATGTTCTGTGTGATTAACAATTATATTCTTTACATGTCATGTTATCAAAGGCAGGTAGTTTTTCAGAATATTAGCTAATTATTGTAATGGTAGAACCGTGGTTGTATGCATGATTAGCATGAAATGTTTTAGTTCTGTTTAATTGGTATTTAATACTGTTATACTAACAGCAAACAAACAATTTATAATTGGATGTTTCCTTTTTCATGTAATATATCGTGTGATTGATACACTTGTGTTCATTGAACCCTTTACATTTATTTTCTAGACATTAGTTTAGTTCTATAGTCCAGAACAAATTAGTTATATTTCTACATTAAAGAGACGTTTACTTTATCATTTTGAAAGCTTAATGTTTTATCTTACTTGAGAAAACATTCTTTGATGTTTGTATAGCAGTTAGTGAAGCTAGATTCTGAGAGAAAATTGCCAATTGTTAAAGGGGATAATGTGGACATATTTAGTGCCATTTAATATAAGCCATTTAAGATGTTTAAAGGTCATAATAGTTCTGTTAGATCATTGTACTCATTGAACTGGTTAATGTTCTTGAACTTAATTGTTTGAAAGAATAATGTTATTATTCTGAACAATTTGTATACAGTACAAAATTTAAAAAATAATATTGGTTTCAGCTGTGTTTATCTGCTATGTAACACTGGTTACGAGTTTTGATGCATAGGAATTGACCACGAAGGCTTAAATTTTTTTATGGCTTTATGAATTAGTAAAGGATGTATTTTATTGTAAATAATGTTTTTTTTTTTAAAGTATTGTTAACCTTACTCTGCTGGAACCTAGAGTGATTAGCCTTTGTAACCAGTATAGAGCCAGGCCAGGCTGCATGTCCAAGTTATATTTATCCAATGTTCGCATTTGATTATATTTGAAATTTTAGCAGATTTTAATTAAAGTTTTCCCTAGTGGCTGAGGGGTTGCCTTTACCTGTTGATGCATCAGAATTGCAGCCACCATTTAACCCTGTGTGATCATAAGTGGCAACTAAATGGGTTCAAATTATCAGAGTCTATGCATCTCATAGCTCCAGCAGGTGTGGTGGTTTTGACCCCTGGTGTTGCTTAAAGTTTGAAACACCTAAGGTGAGCCAAAATCATCTTTACTGTTTCGGCACCATATGACCTATACTGTGTTTGTGCACTGTAAAACCAAACAAAACAAACAAATTGAAGTTATTTTGCCCTGTTGTTATTTATCATTATTGTTATTTTTCATTATCGTTATTTTGTCATAAATCAGAAGTTATTTTTCAGGTAACAAAGACAGGACAGTGTGTATATGATCTTGAATCTCCTCATAAGAGACCCTATGAGACTTTAATTATCGGGAAGTATCATCCAGTTTCCATGGAAACACAGAATGCAACATGTGACCTTGATAATGCACGTGATTCAAGTCAGGCAAGTAATCTAAAAATAGATGCACCTGAAAACGATTGGGCAAGTTCAAAAGATAACCAAGACAGTAGAGGTTGTATCACTGACAACAAGGTTATTATAAGTGTACCATGCAGTCTTCATTCAAAGAAACCTCCATTGACAGGTATATTTTAATTACCATCCTTGTACTATTTTATAGATGGTTTGTTGGTCTAATTATTCAAGAACAGTTTTGATTTACAAAATGTTTAGTTCTGGTTCTAATGCTAGAATTTAATTGTATAAATTTTGCATTTTGACATTCAAACAAAACTTAAAACCCTTTTCTTAGAATAGATAAAGAAAGTTGATCTAAGAATAGATGAAGAAAGTTGTTCTTAGAATAGTTAAAATAGATAAACACAGTTGCTCTAATAATAGATATGGAAAGTTGATCCAAGAGTAGATATAGAAAGTTGATCCAAGGATAGTTAAACACAGTTGTTCTAAGAATAGATAAACACAGTTGTTCTAAGAAAAGATAGAGAAAGTTAATCCAAGAATTGATAAAGAAAGTTGATCCAAGAATATTTAAACACAGTTGTTCCAAGAATAGATAAACAAAGTTTGTTCCAAGAATAGATAAACAAAGTTGGTCTAAGAATAGATAAACAAAGTTGTTTTATGAAAAGATGAAGAAAGTTGTTCTAAGTTCTAAGAATAGATAAACAAAGTTGTTCTAAGAAAAGATAAACATAGTTGTTCCAAGAATAGTTAAACAAAGTTGTTCTAACAATAGATAGAGAAAGTTGTTCCAAAAATAGATAAACACAGTTGTTCTAAGAATAGATAAACAAAGTTGTTCTAAGAATAGATAGACAAAGTTGTTCTAAGAATAGATAGAGAAAGTTGATCCAAGAATTGATAAAGAAAGTTGATCCAAGGATAGTAAAACACAGTTGTTCTAAGAATAGATAAACACAGTTGTTATAAGAAAAGATAGAGAAAGTTAATCCAAGAATTGATCCAAGAATATTTGAACACAGTTGTTCCAAGAATAGATAAACAAAGTTGGTCTTAGAATAGATAAACAAAGTTGTTCTAAGAATAGATAAAGAAAGTTGTTCTAAGTTCTAAGAATAGATAAACAAAGTTGATCTAAGAATAGATAAACAAAAAAATTGTTCCAAGAATAGATACACAAAGCTGCGGCACTATTGTAGAGGAAACATTCATTTGGTTTGTGAATATATAATGATTACAAGTCGCATTTTCTTATTCTTTTTCCTACAATTATTGTAAATACAATAGCATACCAATAAAACAATTAAGCCATTAGAGAAGAATGGTAAACCCTATGATTTCATTGGTAAATGCCTTAAATAATTCATATACACTCTGCTAGTTGGTGATATGCCTGCCGCATTATCTTGGGAGAGCATTAAAAATACAGACTTGGATTTGCATGTTTGAGCCCAAGAAGCAGCACATGTATTTCTTTGACAGTTTAGTAGACAACAATATGTTTAAATTTGTTATTATTCATCAACTGTTGAATAAAATATTTTATGTGAAGAAGTAAGCAAAACTGAATGTTACTACTGGTAAACTGAGTGGGAAGCCCTTTACAAAGAAACTGCCTTAATCTGCCACAATACCAGGGATTTTTTCCAGGATTTTGGGAGTACGACCCATACCCACGGAATTGAGAATTTCAGCGGTGTTTTGTTAGAAATTGGGAAAAAATGCATCACTGAAATTTTACAGTGATTAAATGAATGCAAACAATTACTGTGTAAGATGGCATCTTCAAACATTTAAGCACTGTTACAGTGAAGAAGCCCTTATTTGCAAAGATTTTAGAATTTTTATTCAATATTTTTATATTGTAACTTTCAATTGGGAATTTTTTCCTGTGGATTGGGAAAATAATATACTATTTTCAGTTGGGAATATGACCCAATAACGGCTATAAAATAAACCAAAAAAAATCCCTGAATACACAGCTTAAAGCAGCACACCTCCAGATTCATGCTGATTTTCATGAAAATTTTGAAAATATATAAAAAAAGTAAAATATTGTGAAGTGAAAAAAGAAAATAATTTTAACATTGCAAACAGCATTTACATCCCATCTTGATTACCAAAAAAAGACGTCAAAATATGCAAAAAATAGCCCTTACTGCATTAATAGTAATGTTGTATAAATCTGGTGAAAAATAAAAATACCACAAAATTGTTAATAAATCGCACATAATTTGGAAATTTTTACAGTTATCTTGAATCATTATACTTTTCTTCAAATCTTTGTACTTTTTTTTCTCAATTTTTATTTTATTGAAATATTTTGGTTTATCTTGAGGCATGCAGCTTTAACTGACATTCCTGTTAACGTACTAATGTTATTATTGACTGTTATTATTTTTCTTTTTTAGAAGTTTTGAGGCCTTACTTACCTAATGATCCCAAATGTATGGAACTGTTTGCTAGAAACTTGCTACCTGGCTGGACATCGTGGGGGAATGAGGTTTGTTATATGATTTTAAGCTTGTCTGTTTCGAAGAAAAAGTCAATCTATTATGATGGCTGCTAATTATCATAGTAGTTCAGGACATCATCATGCAAAAAAATTAATGTAGCTCATTGGCATTATTATGTAAACAGTATTTTTAAAGGTATCAACATGAAACTTGAAATACCTGCTAATCATTATCATGACAATTTGCAGTTGTAAAATAAGTGGCATTATTCTTAAAGATAAATTTTTGGAGTAATGCCCCTTTTAAATTTAGAATTTTTGTCAAAATTAGTTTTTGATGGTTGTTGAACTGAAAAGATGATCACTATCACGATATGTAGAACTCTTGATTTTGGCATTATCAATTTATGATAGGAAATAGTGTTGCTGTGACTAATTATTGGTAAAGGCGTCTGTCTGTGAACCCAAGGGGATTGTTGGTTCAAGCTCAACTTAGGTCATGACCTTGTTTCTTCACATTACACCAGTACTGGTTTTAAGTTCTAGGAAGTGGAATCGAGAGTGGTTAATATAAGTTGCAGGAACTTGTTTCACAAATGAATTTAACCTAATTTAGTTAGTTAGTCTTTTGTGATGGAAGTTCATTATTTCATATGGAGTGGTTTGAATTGAGCTTAGCATTTACTGTAGTAATTTTTCAGGTAAATGTTTTAGGTGAAATGCACTGGAAATTTACAATTCTTTTGGGGAGAGATACTCTTTTGATCCATTTCCCTAAAAGGGAACAGAAGTCAATTCACCAATGTTTACTGAAAACAGTTTAATCTAAAAGATGATGACATAGAACAGTTTTAAAGGTACTCGAGTCATCAGGGAAATAGATATCTGGAATTATTTATGTTGTGTTGCAAATGAATTTCAGATTAATTCTTGATTAATAGATTCATGGCTTAAATAATTGCATTAAAATTGATTGTGTACTAATGGAATTTGCTATCTGGTCTGTAACTCTTTTTGTTGTTGCTGCTGCAATTGTCAAAAGGGAGGACATGTTTCTTACTGATAGGATTATAAGAAAATAAGATGGTCTTTAAGAAACAATTCTAGTGGAAAAAAAAGAAAGTCACTTAAACAAACACAAATGTTTACCAGTGTGTATCATGCTTTTGTTGTGCCTTTACAAATAGTTGTTCTGCCTCTACAAATAGTTGTTGTGCCTTAACAAATAGCTGTTATGCCTCTACAAATACATGTAGTTGTTGTGCCTTTACCAATAGCTGTTGTGCCTCTACAAAATAGTTGTTGTTTTGCCTCTACATGCCTCTACAAGTAGCTGTTGTGCCTCTACAAATAGTTGTTCTGCCTCTAAAATAGCTGTTGTGCCTCTACAAGTAGTTGTTGTGTCTCTACAAATAATTGTTATGCCTCTACAAATAGTTGTTGTGCCTCTACACATAGTTGTTGTGCCTCTACAAAATAGTTGTTGTCCTGCCTCTACAAGTAGCTGTTGTGCCTCTACAAATAGTTGTTCTGCCTCTAAAATAGCTGTTGTGACTCTACAAGTAGTTGTTGTGTCTCTACAAATAGCTGTTATGCCTCTACAAATAGTTGTTGTGCCTTAACCAATAGCTGTTGTGCCTCTACAAATAGCTGTTGTGCCTCTACAAATAGTTGTTGTGCCTTTACCAATAGCTGTTGTGCCTCTACAAATAGTTGTTGTGCCTCTACAAATAGTTGTTGTATCTCTACACATAGTTGTTGTGCCTCTAAAAATAGTTGTTGTGTCTCTGCAAATAGTTGTTGTGTCTCTACGAAAAGTTGTTTTGCCTCTACAAATAGTAGTTGTGCCTCTACAAATAGTTGTTTTGACTCTACAAATAGATGTTGTTCCTCTACAAATAGTTGTTGTGCCTCTACAAATAGTTGTTGTGCCTCTACATACAGTTGTTGTGCCTCTACAAATAGTTGCTGTGCCTCTACAAGTAGTGGTTGTGCCTCTACAAATAGTTGTTGTGCCTTAACAAATAGCTGTTATGCCTCTACAAATACATGTACACTGTAGTTGTTGTGCCTTTACCAATAGCTGTTGTGCCTCTACAAAATAGTTGTTGTCCTGCCTCTACAAGTAGCTGTTGTGCCTCTACAAATAGTTGTTCTGCCTCTAAAATAGCTGTTGTGCCTATACATGTAGTTGTTGTGTCTCTACAAATAGTTGTTATGCCTCTACAAATAGTTGTTGTGTCTCTACAAATAGTTGTTGTGCCTCTACAAATAGCTGTTGTGCCTCTACAAATAGTTGTTGTGCCTTTACCAATAGCTGTTGTGCCTCTACAAATAGTTGTTGTGCCTCTACAAATAGTTGTTGTATCTCTACACATAGTTGTTGTGCCTCTAAAAATAGTTGTTGTGTCTCTGCAAATAGTTGTTGTGTCTCTACCAAAAGTTGTTTTGCCTCTACAAATAGTAGTTGTGCCTCTACAAATAGTTGTTTTGACTCTACAGATAGATGTTGTTCCTCTACAAATAGTTGTTGTGCCTCTACAAATAGTTGTTGTGCCTCTACAAATAGTTGTTGTGCCTCTACAAACAGTTGTTGTGCCTCTACAAATAGTTGCTGTGCCTCTACAAGTAGTTGTTGTGTCTCTGCAAAGAGTTGCTGTGCCTCTACAAATAGTGGTTGTGCCTCTACAAATAGTTGTTGTGCCTCTATAAATAGTTGTTCTGCCTCTAAAAATAGTTGTTCTGCCTCTACAAATATTTGTTTGGCCTCTACAAATAATAGTTATGCCTCTACAAATAGTTGTTGTGCACTGCTGTCTGGAATTTTTGAGACAGACTATAAAAGATAAGAACAAAATGTTGATATTGTTAATTTGTAATTTTTATGTCCCCTTGTCCATTGATTCTGTCTTATATCTTTATGTAGACAACTTAAACTTGGGCCATAAAATCTTCATTTCCGTGTGATAAAGTCTTGATAAATAAACACAACATACCTGTAGACAAGAATTACATTATATTGACTTGAAATATGACTATGACCCCTTACCAATTTCCTAATATAAGTACATGTATATTATGTTGTTGCACTGTTCATAAAAATTTTATTGCACAGTCGAAAAGCAAAATCACATGACTGTGTCTTTCAAGCCTATTCATATTTACCATGCTTTGAGCTTACAAGCAACAGACTTACTGCTACTCCCGATCACTGTACCTTTCTTGGGAACTTGAAAGGTTATTCTTATTTCAGTTTCATCATTGTACATACAACTAAACAAGCATACCAATAGTAGTACATGTATAAACAATATATAAGAAGTATATTGCCTTTCATAAGATGAATTATAAGAGAAACCTATAACAGTTTTTGTCACACTGTGCAAGATGCTGGCTCAATCTTAAGACACACACTTTTTGCTCGTCACTTTGTTTTCTGATGTTTTGTTTTCTATCGAAATCTCCCCCAATATAATTCAATAATAAATGTTTTGTCATTGTCAGTGAATAACATTTGAGCTGCGTCACGACAAAACCAACATAATGGGTTTGCGACCAGTATGGATCCAGACCAGCCTGCGCATCCGCGCAGTCTGATCAGGATCCATGCTGTTCGCTATCAGTTTCTCTACTTGTAATAGAGTTGGTAAGCGAACAGCATGAATCCTGATTAGCCTGCTGGTCGCAAACTCATTATGTTGGTTTTGTCGTGACGCGGCTCATTTAGTATATGTTATGACTGGTAGATATGAAATCAAAACATGCTATTTTTAACTTTAAATTAATTTATTGTTTCATGTTTTCAGGTGTTGCTACATCAACATGAGAGTTTCTTTGAAGAAGTCATATGACGCACAGCTACATACATGTTGGCATGGAAACATCGTAATGTTTACCTGACCATGGTCCTAAAAACCACACACACACAATAGTTGTGATGGAAACCTGAGAGTGTTGAGCAGTGTATAAGCAAGGCAGGATAAAAATACTTGGAGGTGTTAGAATTTTCTGTATTTGTATGACTGCAAGTAACATGTGCCAGAAAACTTAAAAGTTAATTTGAATATTTTTATTGGCTTAAAGAAGTAAGAAGTGAAGAAACTATTGAGTTACCCTATACTGTATGTGCAGTGGAACTGTTGAAATAATTATTAAAAGTCTAAGTATTGACTTTATAATATCTTCTAGTATGGTATACAGTAAAAAGGTACAGTAACCTGAGATGTTTGCTAACTTGCTTGCAGATGAATTAGTCCAAAATCGTGGTCTAAAAGCATTTATGAAATTACATGTACTTTGCTAGCACCGTTTCTTCTTATACCCTAGTTTTATAATGTTTCAAACTTAATGACAAGATAATCATATTGTTATTGAGATGAAACAGAAAATCTGGTTTTGAGAAGTATATGTTCATGTATAATGGTGAAAATTGAAGAAAGAAACTGAAAAACTTTGAATATTTTGTTATTTGTGTTTTTACAATGTTTGCTCCCTGTCATATACTTTAGTCCTTTCTTTTGTACACAAGTGATACTAAATAATTTTGTAAAAAAATAATTGAATTCTCTATAGATAAATGGGGGAATATTATTATATTACTATTCTTTGTTTTTCTTATTTCTATCATATTTTTTGTTTTAGTTTGGTTTTTAGTTATACAGCTGCTATTATAGTCATATTGTAACATTCTAGCTTTTGTGGTGGAGAAAGTCCTCAGTTTCATCATGCATTACTTCAGTCATTAGCAACCATCAACCTTCTGTAAAGTTAGCTAAATAGCTGTCTCACATGAAAGAATCCAAAGTCCCTGGCTCGATTCTAAACCCACAGTTGTCAGGGGCAAGTTGTTTATTCAGGGACCTAAACCACTCAGACAGAGGTAGTAAAAATTAGATATAAAGTTATAAACTGATGGTTTTTATAGCTAATTAAAACCAGGAATTTGTTGTAGGCAGTTTTATGATTATAACAGACAAAAATAATGATTTAATCTTGAACATGACGATAATTGTTTAATAAAAATGTAATTTAACAATTGAAAAGATATGAAAAACACTTAAACAATTATTGAGACTGGTAACAAGACATGCCAGACATCATCAATACCTCTAGAAATGAGCCGCGTCATGACAAAACCAACATAATGGGTTTGCGACCAGCATGGATCCAGACCAGCCTGCACATCCGCGCAGTCTGATCAGGATCCATGCTGTTCGCTAACAGACCCTATAACAAGTAGAGAAACTGAAAGCAAACAGCATGGATCCTGATCAGACTGCGCGGATGCTGATTAACTTTTATGTCATTTAAACATTATACTACAAGGGCATAATTTTATATAGCAATTATATTGCTAAACTTGCATAATAGAACTGAATTTTATATAACATAATGTGTAATAAAGCTAAATTTTATGTAACCATTTCGCTGCTAAATCTGTGTTATATAGGGCTAAATTTTACATCTAAATTTATGGATGACACTTTATTGTGCTTTTAATTTGAATCTGCTATTTGTTAATCCTAGGAAATTAAATTTCAAATTTCTAAATTTCAGCTGCCAACTGAAGTTTGGTGGGTATAATATGTCAGAATTTTTGTGGTCAGAATTTGTACACCTGATTTCTTTCCCACCAGAATAAAAGGAAAAAGCCTACTCAAGCCTAATATCTTATTTTATTGTTGATTTTTCAATGCATTTCATTTGAATTCAGTTAATATGTAAATGGCAACAATTCATGTCGAAATCACTAAATGTCTAGTTGTGTTGTCAGAAAAATTAGCATTTCAAATTTCTTACATCAATTTATAGATCACATTAAATACAACAACAGACTTCTAGTTTGATTAACATTGTTTAAGTGCTGTTGAATATACTGTCAAGAAACATTCATTTGAAAGTTAAATTTTGTACCAATTTTCTGTATAAAATATGTATTGATTTACAAGAGGCAATGGGTATTTAAATACAAGAAATGAACTGAACTTCAATATTAAAGTACTAGCATGCAGCTACATGTATCTAAAAATAAAAGATATCTGGGTACTGTATTTGTACAAACCTGCTTTTCTTCAAGTAACTTTCCCTACTTCCATATGAAGAGGGCAGCATCATTGTTATTTTGGACTTCAAAAATTGTTTTTTGTACTTCTTCAATGTTATTTTGGACTTCTTCATTGTTATTTTTGACCTCATCATTGTTATGTTGGACCTCAACATAGTTATTTAGGGCCTTTTTTGTAATTCTGGACCTCTCCATTGATATTTTAGACATCATTGTTATTTTGAACTTCTTCATTGTTATTTTGAACTTCTTCATTGTAATTTTGGACCTCATCAGTTACTTTGGACCTCATCATTGTCATTTTGGACCTCATCAGTTATTTTGGACCTCATCAGTTACTTTGGACCTCATCATTGTCATTTTGGACCTCATCAGTTATTTTGGACATCATCATTGTTATTTTGGACCTCATTGTTATTTTGGACATCATGATTGTTATTTTTGGCCTCTTCATTGTTATTCTGGACCTTACTATTGTTATCTTGGTCCTCTTCATTGTTGTTTTTAGCATCTTCATTGTTATTTTAGGCCTCTTTTTTGATAATTGGATCTCCCCATTGTTATTTTAGACCTCATTAATGTTATTTTAGACCTCATTATTGTTATTTTTGACCTTCTTATTGATATTTACCTCATTTTTGTTATTTTGGACCTCTTTAATGTTATTTGAGTCTTTTTTCTATCTTCACCATTGTTATTTTGGACCTCTCCATTGTTGTTTAAATGGTTTTGACATAATATAAAATTTAAGTCGCCAACAAAAGTTTGTAAAATGCAGACTGACTTGAATCTATACTGATGACATTCAATAGTTATCTCATTCTTTCTGCCAAGTATTCAATGGGTTTGAAATAAGTCCGGGAAAGTCACCATATGTCTACCAGTATCTATGTCATTTATGTTACATAAAACCAAATCAAATGGAAATTATCTAGCTGAAATATTATGCTCCGGATTTTTTTTTCCTGTTTTAGATAAATCATGAAATTATATTGATCTGCCATGTTAGGCAGCTTTGTGGAAGGTTGACAAAATCAATTAAATCAAGGTCTCATTTATATTCACAAGCCTGATTCAAACAGAGTCATTGTTGTATGCTAGCATTACAGCTGTAGGCAAAAAAAAATTCTCCATGGTGTTCCATTATTTTCAAATATTAGAAGGAAGGATAGAACAAAATTAACTTTTTTTCTAATAGAAACACAATTTCCCTAAATATGTGTCATGGGGCCCTGTCCATCTTTGAGTTTGGAACTGTTCATTTATAAACGACATGGATTTTGATATCAAAATCATTAACATAAATCTCCCGGTTATCAACACATTCATTGAAAATAATATCATTTATAATGATATAAATTTTACAGTTAAATTCAAAGAACTTTAGCGGAGGTATTTAATCCCCCCCCACCCCCGACTCTATGTTGAATACAGTAAACTGTGCTTATGTAGATTTTGTGACAGGCAAAACAATATTCATATATGTGAATATTATTTAAAATGAATTATCTGTATTGTCGTTATGTGATTAATAAATGTATAATTTAACATGTACATTTTAAAGTCATAATGAAAGTCTTAAAATACTGAAACCGGTAGATCCTTGAGTAAACTAGTTTACAAGGTGAACCAAGCTGATGTTTGACATGGTGTTTCCTAATTTTTTAATTCATGTTTAAGACATTCATTTTATAGTTGTAAATATTTCTTTTTAAAAAAAACCCAAAGAAAAAAAACCTACCCCATTTTCTCATTTTTTTTTAAAAATTTCCCTTAATCATTTTTCTTGCGAACCTTACTTTTATTTTGTTTTAAAATAAAATTCATTATTTTATTTAAAACCCCGAGGGTTTTTTCAAAAGCGAACCTATATTGGTTGGAAAAAAATGATTAAGCTTTTTTAAGTTTGAATTGTTTTTACGAAAATTAAATAAAAATTCACTTTTTAAAAAAATTAGGTTAAAAGAAAAAAAAACCAAACTAAAGGGAGGTTTGTTTCCCGGTGCAATGAAAATGTTTTTTTAAATGCGGGACCTTTTTAAATTTTTCTATTGTAAAATGGAAGTCTTTTTTTTTTGGAAAAAAAAATTTATTAAAAATTTTTCTTTTAAAAAATTTTTTAAAATGGGAAAAAAAAAAAATTCCCGGGAATTTTAAATTTTTTTTTTTCCCCCTTTTTCCATTCTGAAATTTCGGGCCAAATGAAAGGGTTTAAAATTTTTTTAATCAATTTTTTGAAAAGACAAGAAAAAGGGAAAAACACCCCCCGGAAATATTTCCTGTTAAAACCCCTTAAAAACATCCCTAATGCCGGTTTAATTTAAAACAAGTATTTTTAAGCAGGTTTTTTAAAAGGAAAGCGACGTTAAAAAATTTTAAAAATAAAAATGTTTTTTTTTTCAATTTGCAAAAATAAAAAGAAATTTAAAAGGGACCATTGTCTTGTTTTTAAATTGAAGAAAAATTTGAAATAAAAAAAAATCCTTTTTAATTACTTTAAAAAAATTTTATGTTTGAAATTTTAATTTTTTTTTTTAAAAATTTTAAAAAAGTCAAAAAATCTTCATTTTGTGACAAAAAAAAAAGGGGGTGAACGGGAACCCAAAAAAGTTTTTTATTTACTTAAAAAAGAAAAAATCTTTTGTTTGAACTCTCCAGTTTTCCCCCTTGGACTATTTTTAAAATGTGGAAAACCCAAAAACCCAAAGAACCCCTTATTTACCTCCACGAAAGGGAAAAAAAGGGGCTTACAAAATTAATTTTTTAAATTTTTTCCCCCGCAAAAAATTTTTAATTTTTAATGCTTATTTTTTAAAAACCCCAAATTTATAATTGCTCCCCCCCAAAAAATTTTTACAAAAAAACTTTGAAAATTTTTGTTTTTTTTTTTAATTAGGCCCCCGTTTTTCTTTTTTTAAAAGGAAATTTTTTGATCCCGGGGTTAAAAATTAATGCCCCGGGACAAAAACCCCGGGGGTTTACCGAAAAAACCCCATTTGTTTTTTTGCAGGGGGTTTTGGCTGAAATTTATTGGGCAACCCCCCCGGGGGGTTTTAATTTTGGGAACAAAAAACAAAGCTTGAAAAACCCGGGAGCGAAAAAGGCCGACCGACCGACACCGGAAAATTCCCCAAAGTTGGGGATTTTAAAAAAGGGAAAAATTTTGGGGGGGATAGGGACGGACACTAAAAAAAAGGGCCCCCCAAAAAATTTAAAAACCCCTTTTTTGGGGGAAAAAAGATATTTTAAAAGTATTTAAACACCTTTTTGACCTTTTAAAAATTAAAAAGTAAAATTTTGCCCCGGTTAAAAAAAAAATAAAAAATAAAATTTTTTTCCCCCCTAAATTTTTTTTTTTTGTCCAAAACCTTTGCTTAAATTTTGGGACTAGGA